AACACCACACAACTCAGTCCGTGTGTAATCGGAGACATCGCAGAGCACCCCGTGGCGGAGCTGTACGCTATCGGGTGCGTCCACAGGTTGCGGAGAGGGGAATGCCTTCCTTGTGGAGGTAATTGCGAATAAGTCTCGTTTGCCTTGCAGGCGAGATAAATAAGTAGTCGCGGACAAACAGCGGCAGCGTCTCAGAGCATGAGGAGTTCTGGGCTGGTCACCTGCGTCTCCATCAAATACCCCAAGAGTTCGTACGACGCTGTGTCAAAGCCAATGTGACCGGCTATAGGGTGACTGACCACTCACTTCTGTAACCAGAGATGAGTATATAACGAAGAGCGGATAAACAACCCTGCTGGCTACCGGCCTCTCTGTGGACTGCTACTGAACACAAGGAAAGCGAAGGAGCCACCCGGATATCAACGGTCTTCGTTAATCGTCCCGCTGCATTGCGGGTTAGGTCTTAAGACAAAAGGCTCGAGGTGAGGTCCCATAAGTCAACTCTCTTCCTCGGCCTGGGCAACCAGGAAGATCTCTGCCCACAATACATTAACCTTCTAAATTTTCCAAATCCTTTAACTGACTATCCGCTCACACAAACATGGTGGTGGCTGCGCCATATATCTTCGAAATAACCTGACTGCAATCCCCGCAGATCAACCTGCGCCAAATGATTTAGAAGATACACTATGGCTAGTGATCCCGTCTACCAATCTTCTAGTGTGTTGGATCAATCGGCCGCCCCGAAGCACGCAATGTGAAACCCAAAAGCTAATCGATATGATAAATGCTGCTTCCAGCACCACATACAAGTCTAAACATATTTGTGGAGATTTCAACCTACCACATGTTAACTGGATGCTGCCTACACTCAGAAACACTGCGGGGATTGAGGAAAACATCTTATATATTCATCTCAATGGATGGATCCAGCATGTTAGAAAGCCAACCAGAAGTGCCACTACCTTAGACTTTGTATTCACAATGGGGATCTCTTACGCTTATGTATTCATTGATAATCTACTACCTGGCTGTGATCATAACACGGTGCTTGGTGATATGACTATTGCTTCACCTAAACGACCAAGAAAATGCTAAAACGCATTCGCAACCTATATCATGTGGACTGGAATTCATTTAATGAACTTATCAATACCATGAATGGGAATACGTCATTCCTAACTCACAACTCTGTTGTGGCTACAAATGAGTTTATTAGCAATAGTGCCCTTGTTGTGCATCTGCTGGCACCTCCTGTATGGAGAAATACCCATGAACATAGCGGTGAACTCTAGCTTCTGTACAAAATCGAAATCAAACTAAAGAAACTTAAATCGCTATATCGCAGGAACAACAGCTTCGCAGCATTGCTACAAATACACGAGAATTTACTACATTTAAAACAACTAACCCAAACGGCCAAAATCAAAGAAGAAAATCGGGTACTCAGAAATCCTGAGAAAGTAGGAGCATGGATGCAACTACTCAAAAGAAGGAACCCCAAAACCGTATCAGTAAATTGCAACGTTGGCTCTAAACGATGGTTCAATAACGCGCGACATCTCCTGCACATATGCGCGGCTACCAACTCTAGTTCTGCCTCCTTCTTTGTCCCCAACACTCAGCAGTTTCATGCTCCAATTCCAAAAGGAACGACCGAGCAATATCCCAGTGCCATCGCCTCCGTAGAACTACCAACTCGTCCAGGCCCAGATGGAATCTCCCCAACTGTTATAAAACTCGGAGGAAAAAGTTTTGCTCTACTGTTAGTAAACATCTTCACACTTTCTCTCAGTACAGGCTGCTTTCCATCTCAATGGAAGCAATGCATTATAATGCCTAAGCACAAGGATGGCCCGAGAAATCAAGTGTCAAGCTACCGCCCAATAAATCACACCTCTGCTGCTTCCAAAACCCCAGATAGAATAGTCAAGAAGAACATCGTTCAATATCTTACAAGATTGGATCTCATCAAGCCCTCACAACATGGCTTTCTATCAAAACACTCCAGCGTTACCTGCCAGCTACAATTTCTCGGTCAAGTCATGACTATGATTGACAGAGGAATGGCAATCATTATAATTCTGTTGGACATACAAATGGCGTCCGACCGTCTGCCGCACAAGCTACTGCTGTCTGCTCTAGAGTAATATGGAATTGGAAATCCTCTGCTAAACTGGTTCGACTCATACCTAATTGGTCGAACCCAGGTAGTTAAAATCAGTCAGCAATATTCTACGCCAAAACCAATAACCAGCGGCGCCTTCCAGGGAAGTGTGCTCGGACCACTACTTTTCCTAATCTACGTAAACAACATACATGACTCGATCAAACATGGACACCAATTTCTGTTTGCAGAGGACGTCAAACTGGTCTACTCATTTCATCCAGCCCAACTACAAATGTGCCTAGAAAACATGTGTGAAGACCTATCCGCACTAAATATAGCTAGTGAACGTTTATTAATGAAGTTCCCGCAGTGAAATCCCAAGTACTTGGGTACAGATGCCGCATCCCAGAAGGCTCCATCACACTTGCCGGAAACGTGATCCCAAAATCCGACTCAGTTCGGGACTTCGGAATTAGGTACTCCAACTCTTTCAATTTCTCCGAACATGTGCGTTATCAGATTGCGAAAGCAAGGCAGTCAGGCGGATATATCACCAGAACTTTCTCCCTACCAGAAACACGACTTGAGTCATTCAAGACAATAGTACGACCGACTCTGGAATACTGTACTATCGTTCACAGCCAATTGAGAAAAAAAGACAGAACGGCGCTGGAAAATGTCCAACGATCATTTACCAAGCTGGTCATGGGGCGCTGCTCAAACCTGAGATATGATCGCTGTCGAAAACGTCAACTGGATCCCCTTTGGCTGAGACGCTTAAAGAACAACCTCGTTCGCTTCTACAACATTATAAACCAACGAATTTACGCAGACAGAACCGCACTGGAACTACGGAAGAATGCAGTCTACCCCACACGTAATGGCGGCTACTTGATACACACAAAGCTTGCAAATCATAAAACTCGATCGAATTTCTTCTTAATGAGATACACTGATCTGTGAAACAAACTATCCCTACAGTTATGCATGTGTACAAGCTCTGTCACGTTTCGAAATTCCCTTCAGACGTTCCTCACCATACCAAATGTGTTGAAGATATTTGACTCACAGCGAACTCTAGAAACATTGACAGAAGCTGGAATAAAAAGCATATGAGCAGATAGTTGCTTACAACTAGCTTACCCACTACATGTCATTACTTACAATACCAAATCCTGTGTCTGTGCAGCCTCGTATCCCCTCTTATCATCTACTCCTGAGCCCCACAAAGTAGAAAATGATGATACAAATAACGGTAAATCTTGTATATTAGGTGTTCGAGTCTAGGACCCAAAGAAAGAAAATCATGATCCGAAATTCTATTATTTAACTTTCCGTTAACATTATGATTTACGCCGCATAAAACATGAAACCTATCCAATATACAAATGATTGCTCAAGCTTATGGGACCGTGTGCCGTCTGTCGGTAAATATACAATTTTTTTTTTATTGTGACCACGACAGGGTAAGATAAGAAAGGCGACGAGACAGCTGAACAGGCAAGCGTCAGTGCAGCGCTTAATAAGTACGCTGTTCCCTGTTTGATTTATTAACATAGGGCATTAATAAGGTCAATGTGGCATGTGTGCTATATCATCGCTGCGGCAGGCCTGTACGTGTGCCTGCGTGTTTATTTTCTTGGATTTTACCTTCTTGTTTATTGACATCTCCAGTCTGGCTGTCGTTTATGTGAATATTGACAATCTGCCTGCCTGTTTAACACCCTCCAACTCGAACATACTGGGTCCAAGAGACAAATGATCGTTACTGCGGGGGGGGGGGTGGTGCACGGTATTTGTGATCGTGAGTGGTTCCGCTCAGCGCGAAGCGGGCTAGGATCCAGCCACCACCCTGTGTGCATCTGGTATGCATGTTTCTCTCAGTTCATAGTAATAATATATATATTGGAGAGTGTCAGCTCTGAATCAATCATGCTTCCTATCCAAATCCATGTATTCGTTTATGTGTTCGCAACGTCCGAATCCGCAATTGTTCGTTTGTACTACGGAGTCTGAGCAGGAACCTAATTGGCCCAGAAACGTCGTTGACTATGGATGTGCGTTACGCAGGTCAAAACGTGCCGTAACTTTCGCTGAGTTGCCCTTGTTGAATAAAAGCTTGTTCCCAAGGGGGTCGATAGCGACACCAAATCTTCCGATGCATTATCATGCCCAATGGAACCAGAAAGCTACCATTCGCCACTGGAGAGGCGAGGCACACAGCCTCAGTATCAGCGCAGTATTCAAAGAGCAGTTCCGTCATGAAACAGGGTATGAGTTGACCATCGACTTGCAAACGTGTGGATGTCAGTCCTAGTTAACCTGTGGTTTCCATTTACAGACCGCCCATGGTCCTTATGAAGGCCTTTGCGTGTTGTACCTGTCAGCAGCGATGGTGACAGGTGTAAGTGAAAGCAGACATGGCAAGTCTGTCGTGACAGGTCGTAAAAGAATCTCGACACTAGGAGGCGGAGATGATGTTTTCCGTCCGTGAATCATGATCGGAGGATTGTACGCAACGTCCCTTCACTGACCCGCATCGACCGAATTGCTTAACAACACATGAGTTGCAATAGATAACTGTGATACGTACACGGTAATGCATATAGTGTCATTCTGTGCAATTCACATTTGGAGCAGATCCAATCAGATTCGATGTGCTCATGATGGAACACGGTCCTACAAACGGTACTGCGGTCCCACCAAGATGATCATCGAGGAAGTGTAAGCAGATACATGAGCACATAGAGTAATGTAAGGGCGGCGCGAAGGTAACACAATAGTCAACGCAACTCCCGTCACCAGTTACATCGATGGTATGAATGATATAACCGACGAATAAGCAGAAGAATGTAGGTGTGAGCGACTCGGGCGCGAACAAGGAACTCACCAGTAAAGCTTGCAAATCTCTGTAATTAGTAATAATACCGTTGTGAACGACCACGAAAGAGTTGTCGGGACCAGATGATTGAGGATGTGCGTTCTTTTCGCTCGGTTCACCATGAGTAGCCCAGCGAGTGTGCGCGATACCAACGTGTGTGTCAACAATGTCCTGCTTGAGGTATTCGTCCGCCATCTTTTCTATAAGCCATAAATAAGAGAAATGAAGTGTTTTGCAAGGGAATTGCAAGCGCTATTAGTTAATCAATGCCCCCTTATTTATAGTCCCATTTACCAAGGACAACTGCGTGCCGCAGACAGCTGGGCAATTCGACCAAAAGCCAGGTAAACAAGCATACGACTCAAATATGTAGGTCTCATTAAGGAGTATACCATGCAAGCAAGAGCGTTCATTTGCCAATTTTTAAGATGAAAGCAACGGTTGTTTGGAATCTTTCGCTTCAAAGGGGGTGACTTCCACTGTTGAGTAATCTGAACCGTTATCACAGATGGAATCAAAGTACAAATTCTATGCCACGTGTTGACAAGGACCGAAGCGACACAATGGAGTAGGGATATTTTGCGAGAAAGGTTCGAGAAGAGAGGAGAGAGACGACAATGCCCTTGGAACAGTTTTGAAGTGAAGCCTGCCGAAAGCTGTCCAAAACGGCTTTGACTGAACCAAAGACACGAGGAGATCGGCTACTGCAACTGGATTTCAAGAAGCCCTGCAGTCATACCCTTGAGAAAAGCGGCCCAGTAAGTAAGCCGTGCTTGGTGTTAAAATCGTTCCGCAGCATCAGCAAGCTCGCTGCTAATACGGGTTCTAATCCACTAATCTGATACTGTAAGCAGTTGGTGAAAACAGGCAGCTGCCAATAGCACCTTCATCTATTGACCGCATCAGTGAAGTACATATTTACATGGGGGGTAGACCAAAGCTTTCTCTAGTGTTGAAACCGACTAAATGCCACTATAACTGTACAGAGGTATAGCAATCAAGACCGTAGTCCGATTCATATATTAATCTTGAAATAGGGTTGCTGATAACAACTACTTCCACATTCGACCGGCACGGGCTGTTAGTATATTTAGCTAGAGGTTCGGGTGACTTACAAGGGCATATTCAGAGCGTTTTAAAGTTGGTTTAGTGAGCTGGTCACCAAAGAAATAAGCGCTTGGATTAAACAGAGAGGAGAGAGCATTAACTACGACAGAATGTGAGAAAACACACTAACGCACACACAGCACAGTGAAGTAAAGCGCGGAAAAATGGACTATGCAAACTATCGTTTTCTACATGCTCCTTTTCATTACGTGAACTCAAAAACCAACCGCAACTTGCCTATATCCGAAACAGAATTTGCCGCTTCAAGCCTGAATGTATATGCAGGTAAATGAGCGCGTATAGATTCTTCGGGTGCCCCAAGCTAAGGTTGATTTTGCATACATCATGTTTTTCACCGCGGTTGGGCTACACCGGTTTGCGCTTAAAGTTGATCTTAACCTGGATAAAAAGTACTCCAATTAATTTATTTTGCTCAGATCTGTTACTCTGTTGCATCTTCCGTGTCAATTTTGTGTTTACAGGAGAGTAGATGTGACGAATTTCTACACAATTTTGTGTTTATTTTCCTTCAGATCCTGCGATGGTTGTTTGATATTCCCGGTATAGCTGCGCTTGATGTGAATGTTGACAAGGTGTCTACCGGTCTAACACCCTCCACATCGATTATTGACTCCATGAGACTGTGAATCATTGCTGTGGTGGGGGACGGGGTGCACGGTCCTCGCGGACGTGCTAGGCACAAACAGTAGTTCCATACATACAGGGTGGAGCAGACTACGACCCAGCCACCGCCTTTTGAACATCTGGTACGCATGATTCCTCACATAGTTAGACAGGAATGCTGTTGCTGTGCATGTTGAAGGAGTGTGCGCCTGCTCCGTTGATGAAACGTGGCTCCCATCCACATGCCTCCAGGTTTTATTCCTTCGGGTTTACACTGGATATGAGGAGTATGGATGGAGCTGTGGGTGGCGCAGCGCAAGCCACCCATAGTCCCTCTGTAGGCACAGACGTTCTGTGGCTGTCCTATGGAGGTCGCAGTGACAGGCAAATGCGGAACCGGACGCCGTCGACCATAGACCCTTCGGATGCATACGGTCAGGTTATCACTTGGAATGGTGACCTCGTGATGAACAGAAGTTCAGCGCACTTGGCCAACCAGGCTCCGTGAAACACATGTGTCTGATAGTGATTCAAGGGCAAGTGACAAAAAGCAAAGCCGCGAAATGCTGCGGTTATAACTCAAAAGTAAAAAAGGAATGCAACCACACCACTGATTTCGTGAGGATGTCATGTTCGATCGGCTAGGTAACCACTGACTCGGTCGATCCCGAGGCCTCCATCCAAGAGGACGAAGCGTACCGACTTCATTTGACCTTGTATGAGGTAATTCAGATCGAAAAACGTGCTGATAAACTGACTAAAGCAAACACCACACCACACCCACACTTACCCTTGACGGTCTCCACGAGTGAAGCAACTTTACCCTTGCAGCGTATAATGGCGACTGGATTTCCAGGAATGTCCGTACCGTTTGCGTATCCGTTTGACAGGCCGTTTGGACACGAAGCAATAATGTCCACAGCAAGACCAGCCGAGTCATACCCTCGATATTCCAAGCGATGAAGACCATTGAGTAGAATGTTTATGACATCCTGACGGCTGACGGGGACGCGGTAATTTAAGTAGGCGAAAATACCTGGAAACCGTGTATATGATGGAATCGATCAACTGTGTCAAGACGGGAATAATGCACATGGTATGAAACCAGAACAATGTTAAATGAACCGATCACAGTATGTGGTCAGCGGAGAATACTTCTCATTCAAGTCGATCTAAAGTTACTGGGTCGCTGCACGCGATTAGGTAAATTCTGAGCAAGGACTCTGAATAGAACAACACTCATGCATAAACGAGTATCAATGGCAATGTCATAGACTGTTATAGACATCTATCCTTTGAATATTGTCGACAGCAAAAGCGGATGGAAAGTTGGAATGAAACAATTAAAATGGCAAACTCCTTTGCATCGCCAGTCGAAGACAATACGAGATGAATTGGGCGAAAAGGTAGATTGCATCCATTAGTCAAGTGAACCTCACATGTTATTTTTACATTGGCTAAGCAATGTGAGTTCATTCAATATTAAACTATGCTGTTGTGAGATGGCGCTATGAGACATCCTGTAATGTTTGCTTAGAGAATACGAAAGACAAGCGATGGGAATGGGAATAAGGAAAACGTAGAAATCCATTTGCACAAGCGAACTAGCAGTGGCGAAAGTGACCGCAGTAGCTCAGAAACAGATGTACTGAGGCCGACAGCTAATTCCTCGTTTCATACAAGTTGACCTACGGACAGCACCGAATTCCACACTTGTAATGAGTAAACACTGCGCAAATGACTTACAAAATCCATGCCCTGAGGGAAAAGGGAAGTGCCGGAAAGGAAGGAACCGGAGAGAAAACACGAAGTATCGTGCACAGATAAACAATCGGCTTCTGACCATTTAGTCACCTAGTTCCGTCCGATCCAGATGAAACTATAGCGTTCCCATGACACAAGGACTTATCACAGTGTTTCAACAGTGTGTAAAAGTCTTTAGTATGCCGATGTTTATCAGTATGTCTGAACCACTTTGGGACAGCCAACTTCACACCATTGTAGTAATGTTGACCACCGGGTAAAAACCAACCGCAGCAAGATTACATGACCATAAGAAGGATGTGGCGATGCGATTCAGAAAACAATAGTCTTCCAATTCATAACAGTCCTGTTATTCAGTACAAGCTTCAAATCATCTATGCTGATGGAAAGTAGGAAGCCGTTTTATAATCCATATGATCCGGAATCATTCTGCTGACCGTTTTCAGTGAAATATTAAATGTGGCTGTAATCACAATAATGTAAGCGATGACTGACAAGAGTAAGTTGATCAATGCACCGAATGTTACCAGCAGTGACAACCATCAGTAGAGCTCCACTCCGAAAGAGATCACCAGAGACAGAAATCAATCAACACCATCACCAGATGAAGAAATACAAACAAATACAGGTGGGAGGCGGTAGAAATCAAACTGAAGCTTATATGACTGGCGCATTTCGAAGGTGAGCCACCTATGCAAATTGGTGTATTAATGGAGCAGCTCCAGACCGTTAAAACAATTATTTCTTTCCACAGTTCGACTAAACAGTCGTGCAATTCGTGAACCAGAGCAGAACCCCGGATTTGAAGGGGCCTGGAGCAAGTCCATCCGGTCTAGGGTCCATAAGGAATTCAAGAGTAAAATCAAACGTTCGACAGATACAGGAGAACCCGGATCCAAAGAGACGGTCTAGTGAGCAGGATGATCACTGGTCAACAGCGAATCTGGTAATTCTGATGGGTAAAACTGAATCCAAAGTATGTTAAGCAAAACGAGCCAAGCGTTTTGACAGACTGTGGACGGCTGTTCAATCTCCTCCCATAGTTTCGTAAACACAAAGTTCCTTCTGCTGTCAGTTTTACGCGAGACGGAATAACTTATGATGGTTACTAATAGTAGCATCCGTTACATTCCTCCGATGCATCATAAGACCATCATGTATCACGGTCTCTCGCAGAATAGCAAAACATTTTGCCTTGAGATCTTTGCGAGTATTATTGTGTTCGTTCCTAGCCAGAATGCGTTCGCCAGCATGGTGAAGTGCCAGAATACCATTACGATCATCAGTACATGTTAGCTGAAGGTGAGGAACACACTTCAGCTATTGCACAGCAATACAAATAAATAGAATATGCGAAGAAGCGAGATAAAAAAGAAAAAGTAACGTGACGCTTAGTTACATATTACGCGTCAGGTGTAAGATCGTAGTTGGAGACGAAAGCGAAAGGGGAGGGCAGTGAGAAAGAAAATCACGAGACAAACAAGACTGAGGTCGGCTCTTCACTATGCAAACCAGTGTACGCAACCAAACGTCGTAATAGTACTTCGGACCAACGCCCGGCAGTCGGGAGACACTAAATGAGGCCAGGACCGAAGCGATGGACTTCATACCACTTGACCAAGTCATCTCTTAGACACCTCTCCTCTTCCATCCACATCCCCGGCGCAAAAACCGTACATCGCGGAAGCCTATGGGCTGGCGTGATCAACACGTGGCCGAGCCATCGGAGCCTGATGCGTTAAATGATGTTACAGAGCGGTTCATTTCCTCTTCCTGCGCCATAAACAAGGCGTAGAACACGCTCTTTACTCACGCGGTGTTTCCATTAGATATGAGCTAAGTTGTGAAGGTCGCCATGATGGAACGGGAATAGAGTATTTATGTCAGTCGACTTGATGCACCAGGTTTCGCAACCGTAAAGTAGGGTTGAACGCACGGCTGCATTGTAAACTCTTCTATTCAGAGCGAGAGCGATATCGCGCTGGCGCCCCAGGTAGCGGGCATAGGCAAAAGTGCCTCGTGCTCTAGCTAAGCAGTCGATGATCTCATCTTCGATCCCATGGGCACTCAATTAACCGCCCAGGTACTTTAATTTCTGAACAACTTCTAGATGATACCCACCAAGTGTCAATGTAGTGGTGAGTCCCTGTCAATCTTGGAGAAGGAATTTACACTTCGAGGGTGTAAGCATAGCCCGAAACGACTGACAGCAGAAGCTAACTTGTCAAGTGCTGTTTGGAACGTTTGGAAACTGTCACAGATAAGGGTAATATTATCGGCGTACTCCAAATCAATAAGTCGATCACTTAGGAGCAGCTACATGCCTTGTAGATCGTACTCAGTGAACGCAGTTTCTATAACCTCGACAATGGCGAAGTTAAAAACGAAAAGTGACAGTGGGTAACCTTTGACAACGCTGGAAATATTGAAGGGCGTTGACAATCTTCCATAATCCTTCACCCTGTCCGAACTGCGCGAGTAAAACGCTATTATAATGTTCACATATTAATCGGGCACACGTTTCTTGAGTAGACAGTTCAAAAGAGCACAATGAAACAGCAAATCGAAGGAACCTATGATATAAAGAGCAAACCAAGGGTGGGTCGTAAAAAAATATGGCGGCGTTCCAACAAACGAGGTGATAAATACAGCCTCAATTTCGATAAAACCTCGGCTTGCTTCTGAGAACCGGGGCTTCACGAGAACCAGCCGGTCTATGGAAAACGACAGAGGCAAGTAACCATGAAGCGATGGATAACAATCAGATGCATTCAGCAAGTACGTTCTTGAACACTGGACGTGCAACAGAGCGGCGCCAGTCTGCCAAAACCTCGTACGGCTTAAACGCCGTCAAGTATATATATATATATATATATATATATATATATATATATATATATATATATATATATATATATATATATATATATATATATATACTTCGGCATTCGGTTTGGGATTTGCCTTTCATTGTAGCCCGCATGGGGACAGCCACAGGACGCCTGCGACTAAAGTGGGACCATGGGTGACTTGCTATCTATCACCCAAAGCTCCAACCACCCACCCCACATCCAGTGTAAACCCGAAGGAATAAGACCGGGAGGCATGTGGATGGGAGCCACGTTTCATCAACGGAGCCGGCCCACACTCCTTCAGAAGCAAACACAAGCACGCTGTATTTGGGAAATCAAGCGCACACAAGGCGGTGGCTGGACCGTAGTCCGCTCCACACTGAATGTATGGAACCACTCTTCGAGCCTAGCACGGCCACAAGGACCGTGCACCCCGTCCCCTCCAGAAACGACCAACTGTCTCCTGGAGCCAGTATGGACGAGGTAGTGGGTAATAGACAGGTAGGCACCTTGTCAACGTGCACATCAAGCGCCGCCACACCGGGGAAAACAAGCAACAGCCAATCACGTGAGATAAGCATAACAAATAAAATAAAGCAAGTAATGCATAAGGAAACGGTGACATAAATCTCAAATTAATGAGCATATGAAACAAGATGTTTAAAAAGAATCCTAGAAAAGTTCACGAGGTCAGAAAGTATGTGTTACGAAAATGCCACAAACACGAAAATATTATCGGCGTTAACCACAACTGTTTTAAACGACGTGTGCAGGTTGAAAGAGGATAGAGTACCGCTAGACATTTATATGAGAAATAAAAGCATAAGGACAAAATTGAAAACCCACCACCTGAAATAAATAGACTTAGCATGTAAGCATGCGGTTAGTAAATCGAATGCAGCGTACCTACAAACGCTGCGCCGGTTCTGCCTACGTTCTCTGTAGAACCTATCGTCGCTTCCGTGTTGGCCCCGATTGGCCTCGCTCATGGCTCACTAGGCCTACCTGACTCAGGCACTCGCGACCGCATGTGCTACAGCACCATGCGCTCGATATCGATGGAGTACAACCCATCGGTGCTTGCCGCTTCTTCTCTGCATGTATGAGATCTTTCTCCTGCAACTCGGCAACTGCCTTCGTGATCATATCGCGCCATGCACGCCGATCAACCGCCTTCGATTCCCATGACCTGCAATCAAGATTAGAACGTGAGAGGCTCACTTTGATCATGTCCTGGTAACAAAGCTTCGGTTTCCCCACACACCGCTTCCTGACACTCAGCTGACCATATACTAGCTGCTCCGATATCCGCGTCGAATCCATACGCCACACATGACCGAGCCACCTCAGGTGTCTCAGGAAAAGTATACAGTCCACTGCATACATCCCACTTTGTCGCAACACTTCCGTGTCAGCAACT